TTTTTTTTTTTTTTTACAATATAAACCTTTAATATGAAATAGCTTCCTCTCATTGATATGGTGTAAATATGGAGTGAGTGGGCAGGGTTGGGAATGAGCCCCCCAGGAGAAGTCATAACAGTTCACTTAGAGCTGGTTAGATTGTTCATATCTGCAGCCTAGCTGGAGATCTGAAACAATCAACTACATCAGCCCGCTATATGAAAGAAAAGCTGAGGCCAGGCCCAGCCTTTCAGCAGGGGGGCAATAATGCTCGAGAAGTGGGCAATAAAGGACTGATTGTCCTGTGGCCTGCTTTGGGAGATACAAAAAATATCAGGGATGGGTTATGAGCTTTGCCATAAATGAGTCCACAAGCAGTTACCCACCTCTGATAGTCAGGTAGGCAGAGGCCTCCACTTTACCCACACGGTTCTCTGCTAGGCAAGTGAAAGTTCCCTGATCACTGACTAATGCTCTCTTTATCCTCAGCAGGAAGTCCTCTTTTTCATATCTGATGTCATACCTGGCAAGAAGGAGGAACAGTGACATCAAGTGAAATGACATCTCAGGTTGATTTCATAAAACGGGAAGATCAATAATAATTATATGCGTATTAAAATGTTCATTTTAACAAAGTAAATACAATCAACAAACAATGAAATTGAATCAAGGTTGTGTAAAACTTGTGTGATGCTTTAGATGGAAGCTTTTATAAAGGTTGTGTCATTTTTGATAGAATAAAGACAGACTTTCTAAGGCAATTAAGACTCCCTGCTGCACACTCTCTGCTACAGAGGCAGGAAAAGGGGAGCAATTATGCTGAGATGAAGGCATGGCAAAATGAAAGGTGCTTTCAGCTGGAACCCTAGCTGTTCCACTATTTCAATATTTATAAAGACGAGCCACCCACTGTGGTGTGGGCTATGCAGTATGCTATACTATGTATGTGTGTGTGGTGCTGTGGGGGGGGGGGTGGCAGCAAAAGGGAGGAGGGAGACAGAGACAGAGGGAGAGACAGACAAACAGTCTGAGAGTAAGGGAGTGGCACAGTCTGACAAACTGTATTTGATGAATGAGCCGAGCAGTAAGAAATGACTAATTCATAGATATGTTCCATGCATCAGTGTGCATCCACCAGTGCAGCATACTGTAAGGCAGCAGTGGTGCAGTTAGAGTGAGAGAAACGTCTCAGCGACCAGAGTTTAGATAAGCGCCTCAGAGGGGCAACAGACGGATAGAGTGGAGGAGCAAGGAGCTGGGCTCTCCCTCTCTGGGGTCCCTTTTGGCGTGAGAGATCCTGTGAAATTGTCTAGCCAGCCATACTGATTCAGATACGGGAGGCAAGTCAGGCAGAGAAATGGCACAAGGGGTGAGAAAAAGTCACATTTGAAATAGATGTTCCAAAGGGTGTGGGCAGAATATCGATGGGGGTTGCGGGGTCTGTCCAGAGTCTGGTGAGGACTCCATTCACAGCACATCTCTGACCCAGATACAGACTTCCCAGGAGGCTGACGGGTTTAGGAGAAGAATGAAAGAAGTGGAAGGAGGGAAGTGAGGCGAGGCAGGTCTGAAAGTAGGACATGTTTCTAGAGTCAAGGGGTGCTGAGGTAGAGGGCACAACTCAGGTAGGCAGACAGGCTGCCAGACAGGGAGACAGGCAGTTATTATATTCTGCCTCACAATATATTCTAACATGGTGACACACCAGAGAGGGAATCATTTAGTCTCATATGGCAGTAATGGCTTGTAACAGGTGTTAGTTAAACTAGCAGTAAATGTTTGTCTTTTTTTTCTTCCAAGCTGAATAATCAGTTTAACATAGTTTACGCGCTAGGTTCTGAGACATAGGCTCTATATTTTATATATTTATTTATAAGTTTATCTGTTTAGTTAATACCCTTGAATTTGATTTACATGATGCTTGATTTTATTGATAGCAATTCTAGTAGAAATTGAACACATATCCGAGAACATAATCTATAATTAGTTTTAGCTGTCAAATTTCCATCTATCAAAAGCAGGGGAGCAGTTCAGAACCGTGAATAAACCAGTCAAACAGATTGTAGAACTATATGGAAATGCACCGCCTCAGATTCCTGAAACATCAAATATAAGGAATGCTTAAACCTACCAAAGGAATTAAAAGGTTTTGATGGATGGCCAGATTGTATAATGAGACATGCTGTAATTAAGAGTATAAAGCGTTGAGCAGTAACTATTAAGACCCACATGACAGGCTGATAATGACTTTAAAAATAAGTGTTCAGATGGGATTGCAATGCAATTAATATGTGCTTATGATGTGGGTCTACATGGGTGAACAAAACCACAGGAACACCTTACAGCATGATGCATGCAGTACAACAGCATCACAAACTACCAACAACCATTAGCTGTGCTTCAGCATCTACTCATTATGGCTTTTATTAATATAATATATATATATATATATAATTAATATACATTCAAAAGCTTTATATATGCACACACAGACATAGGCAGTGTATACACCTTCACACACAACCCTCACCTGCCACGGGTAATATCCACGTCCTCCTTTTTCCAACGCAGTGTAGGCTGTGGGTCACCATGGACCTGACACCTGAACTCCACACTCTCGTCAACTAAGACCACCTGGTTCACAGGCCGTTGCACAAACACTGGTCTTTCTGGATGTGGGCAGTACACATAACAGATGCTAAATATACTTTTGACAGAGTGACAAATACTGTATGTGCAGTAAATACCAGAGGAAAAAAAGTCATGCTTTATTTCTTTTTGAGCCAGGCAAAGAATGTATGTGAGACTACTCACCAAATACTGAGAGCTGAGCTTTTTCACTTTCTCTCTCCCCAACCATGTTGGCCGCCACACACACATATGTCCCCGCATCAGTCTTCTTGGTATTTGAGATGGTCAGCTTTCCTCCACGAACCTGACAAAAAATGCAATTACCAATTAAATGGGCCAGTTCAATACAAAGTGCTTTCCATTGTAACAGTTTCAGAAGTGTGAATAGGTGAATCACTGACTATGTGATTCAGAGTAAAAGGGTCATGTAAAAGGCACAGTGCTCCCTGGGGAGTAACCCACCGTGATCCTGTCATCTTTGAGGTCAAGACGAGCTTCTGCTTTCCTCCAGAAGGTGGTGGGTTCAGGATGCCCACGTGGAGGCTGACACTCAAGACTGGCACTCTCCCCAACTGCCACCACCACATCCTGTGGATTCTGTCTGAAGTCATCGCGCAACACTACGAGACAAAATAAAGGCAGCAGGGGTTGTTACTCGGTCTGTAACAGTGGCTCATTCAGTTGATTAGTTTGAAGTTTCATCAGATTCCATTATGTGAACCAGAAAGTCGCTCTGAGACTGAACTGTCTGGGGATTACTGACCTCTACCACCTTTTTCTAATCTGACAGTCCAAAGACAATTCTATCAAAACTGCCTCACAGGACCCTCAGCAATCTCTTGGTCTTTAATAATACAGCTGTCCCCCCGAGGGTGTATGGGCTCCTTTTTGATCTCACTAGCTAAATGTAAGAGTGTGTAAAGCCAGGTAGGATTAACAGTACAATATACATAGGAAAGACAGCTAAGAAGAGCAAGAAACATGAAAGGCAGGTAAAACAACACACAAAGGGAGGTCTCAAACAATAAGTGAAAGATCATCCATTAAAATAAAAAATAAAAAACAATACATTTCTACAGCCCTATAGTGGCTTCTTAACACACATTTCCTCACCCAGTGAAAGTGTTGGATTGAAGAAATATCTACTGATACTGTCCTTAAGTCAATGACACACATTAAAACACAGTACAGTATAGGAAAGAGAGAACCTATACTCAGTATGTGTTTCTGAGTTTTATGGTAAGAATATTACTGTTTGCTATTCGCCTAATAATGCTAAAAATTGATTTTATAGTTATGAATGATATTGCATGAGCCATAAAAGTGAAGAACATTGCATATAATATCTGCTATGGTAAAAACGATGTTGCTTATTATTAAAACTAATAAAAAGCTACAGTCTAGACTACAGTATGGGCTTTACAGTACTGTGGGCTTTTAATGAATTCAAACATTCACTGGACATCTGCAAAATTAAAGGTCGATCGTGGTCAGTGAGCTGTGAAATTCACTATATTTTCAGAGATGTTATTTTGATGTATGAAATATACCAGTTCGGCTGAGACCTTTTTTTATTTTTATGAAACCTTGGTTAAAACAGCAGTTTGAAGATAGGCCTGTACTTTGTAGCAGACACAGGGTCAGACCTTGGTTACTTGAAAAGAGGCTGCACCACTGCATGTACAAATTGGAAGAGAAAGTCCCAGTGACCATGGATATTGACTGAATCAAATACTCCTTTATGAAGCCTTATAAAATGACTGGGGAATAGGTGCAAGGTCTCATTTAGGACCAGAGGAAAAATGGTTTCAAAATATCTCATTAACAGCAGCAAACGTCACTGAGATGTTCTTGTTAGAGGGTTATAATGTTTCTGTAGTGTAATAGTATTCTAATACTTCCGTACTTTTCTTGACATGAATCAATAATGTAGCCAGAAGAGGGACTCTAATTCTTAAAAAAAAACATCCTGGAATTATGACAGCTACTTGAAATACGGATGGTGAAATATGCCAAAATTGCTTTTTTTATCTTGAACATACACACCTTGAGTTCATTAGAATTCCTTTTTTCCCTGCATTCTTACACTGTTCGACAAACATTTTTAATTTATCCATGGCAGGGATGTCTGTACTTGATTTTGTGTGTTCAAAAGAGCGAGAATGTCAAGAATTGTCAAGCAATGCCTGTAAAAGCCATACTTGTGCATTTTGAACAGAGGCATGAGCTAGCTGCTGCTAAGTTAAAAGGTTACAGCTTCAAAACTTCCTCACTCTGTCACAACTGTTATCCCGAATATCAATTCAAAAGCTACGTAGCTACAGGAATGACTGTACTGTAAGCCATCACTGGAATTATGGTTAAAAATAGAGATCATGATTTAGATCCTGCAATGAGTTGTGGCCGCTTTGCATTAATACATTATGACATGTTGTTTTTGTGAAAAGCCTTACTGTAGGCCACATTTACATAATAAAGTGCCTTGTGTGACAACAATCATGACAAATATGTGAAAATAAAAGAATGCTGTTGTAAAGAATTCCAATTAAGATTTGTTTGAGAATTACTAGCTTGTTATTTATGATTTCAGGTATAATGAATGACTAATTAGTTAAAAAACAGTTAACACCTTATTATAATACATGCTGTATTTAGATAACATCAGCTAAGTTATCATACCATACCATATCCTCTTTTCAATTACCCCATTCATATACACAGCTAATAAAATGGCTACCAGTTTTCTGACTGTTTTTCCAAGAAATGCCTAATGTGAATCAAATGCACAACTAAAACTAAATGATAGTTTGTAAAACTCAAAGCAGCATAGAATTTAGAAAAAAGCTGGCTTGGTGTTCAGTTTGCTTTTCATCCTCATTACAGCCATAAGCTGTTCTGCTGATATACTGTAGCATTAATTCCAAGTCCCAGAGGACACCTCTAGTGAGAAAGAAAATCAGGAAGGAGCCAAAGGCCCTTTGGCCCAGCTGTCAATCACACCCAGTCTTGTGCTGGGGTACATGAGCCTCAGTTGCAGGGACTACTTTGGTGCCAACATATGGCTGGCTGGCTGTCACATGGTACTATATGCTTAGCGACCCATTCCATAGACAAAACACTCCGCTCATCCAGTCACACAACTACCTTCCTGTTCCTGAGTTGTCACATTAACGATGCTCTGTAAAAGCAAAGCTTGTCTCAAGAGACCGCAAAGCCCAGACACACACAGGAAAACTGTAAAATACAAGACACAAAAAGTAAGACAGAGGACAGGTATTATGTTAAATTAAATGGTGCTGGTAGTTTAACTGAACAATAGAGTTTTTCTACAGTATCTTTGACACTAATCGAAAAACCCTGTGCTAACAAAAGAGATAAATAATAACATGTTGTCCACTACAGGTACTAATTAGAGTGACCAAGGTCTCAGATATTTACACAATTTAAAAATCCCCAGATTCTTCTCTTATACGTATTACTTATTGTCTCAAATTCAGGGATCCTTCCAAATTGCACATCACCCTGAAATTACCATAAAAAAATAAGGTTTTCATTTGTTTTATGATTGATGGTGTACATAATAAATCATGTCTAAATAAATGGGAAGTGAATAACTTATTGTATACAATCTCTTGGTAATAGGCTACTGCAAATTTGAAAGGGTATGGGGGTGGGGGTCCTTGTCCAAATACATAAATACTGTAGGTTCCGTGCTTGTGATTTATTCAATTCTGGCAGTATGCATTACCTGAATGACAGCTATCCCACAAACCCCAAACAGGGCTGTGGGTGTCCCCCTTCCTTCGCCCTGTTCTCAGTGAGAGGTCTCTGCATGTTTCGGTAGGTGCTGTTCATGAAGGCATGTAAGGTGTGGGGTGTGGGGTGGTTCTAATCTACTGGCCTCAAATGTGGAGCCCCTGTGGAGGCAGCACCCATGTGTAGTCTGTTGTCGGGTGGTAATTATTTCAGATGGCAGGAACGCCACCACTGCCTAATGCTGTCTGATTGAGTATTGCTCAATTATTCAAACAAGCCATTCAGGGGACTCACTCGTTCACCGGTTTCATTTATCAAATCAGAAGGAGAATGATTTGTAAATGGGCTTCATTTCATGGCACAATGGGTGGTAAAAATATGTGACAAGGTGGAAGTATCTGAATACAAATAACTATAGAAGGATTCATTATATGATTAACAGGAGAAGTGGGGTTGTGTTGTAAAATTTTAGCTATTCCATCTGAGCTTCCTAAATTCTTGAGACCCTCTTCAGCTACAGCAGCACTCTATAACTGAATTTCATTTCACTATTTCACCATGACATCAAATCCATGAAGATCCCACTTGAGATCTTGATGCGTGTTGCTCAGCTTGCAAGCTCCCCAAATGATTCAGTACGAGAATATTAACTCCATTTGGTTCCAAATGCCTGTATTTAGAGCTGCCTGTTTTTCCCCAGTACAGTAGATGATGTTTCAAAACACTGCAGTACATTTAACAGACAATGCACTTAATATATCCATTAAGCTTGCATGCATTTACTGCAGTGTGTCTCTTCAAGGATGCAAGTCAGTGTTGCTGAGTGTTATAATATTAAACTGCCATAACAAGTAAAAATCAAGTAAAAATGCTTTGTGTTATGTTTGTACTTTAGTCCCCCCGGTGTGACTGACGAATGGCAATGTTGGCTCGTCTGTCAGTTGGCTTGTGGTTTCATAACTTTGGGCAGAGTATAATGAGTTTCCATGAAATTTGGTGCAGACTTTGATTGTCATGCCGGGACCTCTACCTCTCCTTCAGTCCCTGTCACCCACAACATATTTGTTTTAAGACAAGCTCGTAGCATGGCTCTAGTGGTTGTCAGTGTCAAAGTCACCACTTTGGTCCAGACCATATATCTCTACAGCTATTCACGGTCCCTCGAGGGGGAATCTTACTGACTTCGGTCATCTCGTAATTTTTCCTCTATATTGCCACCATGAGGTGTAAATGTTTTGTTTTGTTTGTCTCGACAATTATTGAATGGATTGTCATGACATTTAGTACACACATTCACTAGAGTAATATTAAGGGTAATGTAACCAAAAATACAAAAATGGAAAAGGAGTCATTTTTCCCAGTGTATCCATGTATGTTCATGCATCTGTGAAAGAAACAGGAAAGAGAGAGTAAGATGCAAGCTCTGATACAATTAAGGAGTTGCATTTTCTAATCATTTTTGACCTATTAATTTAGCACTAATTGAGTCAGTTTAGAACATTAATGAATTGAAAAAGACATTCATTCATTTCCTAATACAAAATGGTAAGTAAACAAGTTGTGACAGACAGATGGCGATGGGTGACAAAATTACAACCCAATTAACTCATGCGTATTTTTGTTTATTTTGTAGTGATCTGCTTGTTTTCTTATGCATGCTTGTGTGTGCCGGTGTGCATGTGTGTGCTTGTGCATGCAGGCTGCTGGTCCACCGGGGAATATATAACCTCACACCTTACAACCCCTCCCCAAAAGAAAATTGTTGTGGTAGTACTGTATAGCAATACTGCAGAGGCAAAAAGAAACAGAATTGTTTATGAGTAGAGAGGAAAGATGAAGACACTAACACCTTGTGAGTTGCTAC